GCAGTAAGAAAATGAATAGATCTGATAAAATTCCTTGACACAAGTAGAGGAGGGTTAGGTTTCTATTGATTCAACCCATCATCTCTAACAAATTGTATTTTTGGTAAGCTTTGAAGACTAGAGCAACCCAATCGTCTATAGATTGATGAATAATGATAATTCAAATTAACTGATAATTGCAACCTGTGGCCCTGACCCCCACAAGATGCAGGGGAGTTCAAGACTCAATGACTAGCAATTTTTTTTGCGGGAGAATATTAATATGTTTTAAGCAGGGGAGTTAAGACTCAAATTATTTTTTTTAAAATCTATTACAGGTGAGGCGGTATATAAAAATAAAATAAATTTATTATGTCATATGGAGAATTAATAACAAACCAAATCAATACCACATCAAAATTATATCTATGGCAATCTTAGAGCATGAAGTATAGTCTCTTTGACATATTCTCTCAAATCAGCTTCTGTGCACAGTTTGTATACCCAACACAGAACCATGGTCTATCAAATATCAAAGTTAATCATTGAACATATAATATATAACCTGAAACAGCAATAAACAACCAAAGAATATACCACAAACACCAAAACCAACCTCACCCAGAAAAGCTAACCAAACCTGATACAGACCAAATAGTGAAATAAAACAGACCAAACTAGTTTGGACAGCTCCAAACAGCAATAAACAGACCAAAAACTACCCCAAAGATCACCAACCTCAAACCAACCACAGTAACTGCACTTCAAGATTAGCCCAAAAACCAGCATCAGAAGCACCATAGCCCTACTCAATCTCAAATACCACTGAGCAACAGCCCCACAACACCAAAACATCATGGAGTTGTAGACAATCTTTATAGTATGGTGTCTCTAAGATAATAAACATAATGCACCAACTTTCCTTAGGCAGCAGCCATTATCAAACAACCTTAGAAATACATCACAAATTAAACAACCAAACACCCAGCAGCCTTTTATCCTTAGAAGTCTTCTTCCTTGTATACCAGTAACACACTGGAGCATCTCACAGCAGAAACAGCAGCTTATCCACAACAGCATTCTTGTGGCTTTTGTATACAGACCACAAATAAAAGACAACACTTTAGGCAGGCAATGGCTCAGATCATTTTTTGTATACCAGATAATCAAGGAAAATATCACAAATCATACAACCAAAGGGTAAGATCAATAAATGAGTGGTAGAATTATTGTGGCTTTGACAAGTTCAATGCTCTATTTTCCATTACGATTCTTAATTACTGAATTAAACACCATAAGAATTAATGAACATAAGAAGCAATCGAACATGATAATCAATATAGCCTAGCACGCGATGCATTCGATCAGTTGCGGGATCTTTTTTGGCATCTCTCCACAATAATTCAAGAACTCTGCTTCACACCAAAGAATATCAATATATTTACGAGGAATTTCACAATTGTGATTCAAGAGGATATCAACAAGCCAGGCATCTTATTAAAATTAAATTACTAGAAAGGACTGGTAACTTATTAAAAACCGCAACACTTGTGTGGGGCAATCTGCACAAACTTCATATCCCACATCACCAACTGCAAGCCAATTGATTCACCAAAACACTTTTTCTGGTCTCTTGGGTTTTATCTGAAGGCAAATAATTTATAAGAGGTTTGAGAAATTCTATGACTATGTTATTCTACTTTCATGAGTAATCAATTTCTATGACTATGTGTATTCTACTTTCATGCATGCTGATATTATGTAGCTACAATGCATTGCAGGGAAATATATCACATAAGTTAGTTCATCAATGAGTTCAAGTGGACACCAGCAGTATGAATCACCAGCCATAACTCTAATATACTAAGTTATTTCGAATCAAAGGCAAATATTGAACATGCATGATGAAAGGGAATCCTAACTAACCAACAAAAGACAGGTAAAACTTACCAGGGGATGGAGCAAGAACACAAATTATAGCTGGTTTGGTTCTTGGTCAAAAGAGAGCAACTATTGCACCTGATGATCAAGAAACCACAATGAAGGTGGTTTGGTTTGAAGTCCCTGAACACTTATGAATGATTCTGTTTTGATAGATAATATGGGAATTTGGCATTTAATATAATTTAGAGTTTATGGCCAGTTATATACATGATGACGAATTTTGTCTCAAAATTCTTATTTATTGTCTTTAATACATTCACTCAATTGCATAATGTAATGAGCATTTCAGAATATGATCAGACTTAGCAGCTCGGATATCAAAACCTTCAACTGTACCATTCTCAAGACTGACCACAAATGAATGCTCAGTGTGTGGATCCCATGCTACAGTTTCAACATCTGCTGAAACTGATAAATCTTGTATGAGAAGGTATCCTTCCATCCTTCTGCAATCACATAAACATAAATTTAATCAAAATAATGCTGAGGAAAGGCAACTTAGCAAAGTGAATGCACGAGCGCACACAAAAAAAAAGGTAAAAAAAAGGAGCAAAATGCAGGAAAACAATCACTGTGTTTGGTTTGAGTTTTCTGGATTTAAGTTTTTTGAAAATTGACTTTTTGGTTTTTGTGTTTTTTTGTTTTTAGTGAATATTTTTTAAATTTTAACATTTTTTTTACTTTTTAGATGCACCTGACTTAGATGTATCTAAAAAGTAAAAAATTTGTGAAAAAATATTTTAAAAAATTAATAAATACATAAAAATACAAAAAATGTTACTGAATTCTTGTATTTTTTTTTGTATTTTTGGTATTTAGTGAATTTTTAAAAGATTTTTTTATAATTTTTTTTTACTTTTTAGGTGTATTTATGTTAGGTGTGTCTAAAAAGTAAAAAATTGCTTAAAATATTAAAAAATTCAGTAAAAACAAAAAAACACGGAAAATAAGAAAGTAGAATTTTCTGAAAAGTGTTTTGGAAAACTGGAAACCAAGCAAGGTGAATAATTTTGAAGTTTATAATTAATAAACAGACCAATAAAACATTTTCATTACCATGACTACTGTATGATCAAAGTTCCACTAAGTAGAAACTTGTGGCACATGATGATTCAATGCGACAGCTTGAACCTGAAAATCAACTATAGCAAGGTCATAAAAATATAAACAAATGAAGTTTTGCCACAGTAAAATAGGTGACTTGAATCCTGAAAAAAAGAACCGTTAGCTATAATTTGTGGATACAGATACAAGTGCCGAAACAGATACAAGGTGTCAGACTGTGAACACCTTCGAATTCCAAAAATATTGTCTACATTCTCAACAGAAAGAATAAGGTAAAGCATTAAAAACTTAATTTTATTAAGAATGAAGGATGACATAACTTTTCTTTCAGTCACTCTTCAATTGCAAATATTCTTCCCCATCTCTAAGCTCCTTACAAATCCATCGCCATTCACATTCTTCACCATTATGCACAACTGTCAACCCCAAAAATACCCTCATCTCTAGCACTAGCACTGACTGCGATTTTACTTAGTCAATCACTGGCTCAGGACCCACACCAGAGATTCAGATGTTCTTTTTTATTTTATGTTATTCGCATTGGCATTTATAAAGCATGGAGTTTGATTCAAACCCTCTTTTTATGGACCCAACTATGAATCAACAAATAATTGATAGACTGAAGAGGGATTTTGCGTAAAGTATTAATTTCGAACAAGAAATTAATATTTTAATTATATATATTGAATTGACTAACCAAAGCCATGCACTATGATTTGAGGCCATCCCTTCAAACATTCACTCATTAGGGTTTTGAAAATTAGGGAAAACAAAAAAAATGGTTTTGAAAATTAGGGAAAACAAAGGAAAATAGAGAAATTGAGTGACAGAGAAAGAGAGGACCCATACTTGATCTCGGGGTTGTTTAAGATAGGCGAACTGGTAGTAGCAGAAAAATGGGGATGGTGGTGCTGTTAGGTGCGAAAATAGAGAGCAACCATGTCAGTAATACAAAGATTGAGAGAGAGAGAGAGAGATGGAGATAACATACATACCTAACAATGGAGGCCCAAGTACTTCTCGAAGCGCCACTGATGCTTGGTCGAAGAAGCCACACACGCGACTGCGATGATGGAGGAGGAGCGACTTTGGTGACTGCAATGGAGCAGGAGAATCGACGATGAGGTGCGTGTGAGGAGTGGTTCGCGGTATATACTGTATAAAAGAGTTTGAAAATTTCACTCGGCTGTTATAGGGCATTTTTTCCCTACCAAACTGTTTGGTCGACACTGTGCTTCACTTAATTTAAATTACATTCAAAACAGTATCGTTTTGTTATGTGCGACCAAATTACTTTGGTCGGTAATTTTTTTTTTTTAATTTTCTTGCTTTTTTTTGCTCTTCCATATTCAACCTTTGCCAAGCAAATTTCAATTTTGGTCCCAAGAAATTTTATTTTGGCAACGTTATATAGTACTCTAATAGATTTTATAATAATTTGTGCTATAAATTATTTGTTTTTATTTTCTAAAATTACGAATCAACTGAATCATAATTTTTTGTGCTAAAATTACAAACTTACATCAACATCCCGCACCGAGCTATTATACATTATTATAGAATTTTGCTTTGTTTTTATTAATAATGTTTTGTAATAATTCTTATGCTTAAATTTAGCCTATAAAATTAAAATTATCTTAATGTTGATCATGTTTTTTTTTTTAAAATAAAAAATTGTAATTAATAAGTGCCTCATCTCTAAATAAGTTTTTCATTCAGCAACTAAATAAGTTTGGTAGCCAAACCTAACTATACCGCGACAAAAAAATATTTTAGTCGCTGAAAATAAATATTTGGTGACCAAAACTTTTTGGTTGCTAAAGGTAAAAACAAATTTTTTTTTTCAGTCGGCAACTAAATAAGTTTGGTAGCCAAAACTAACTATACGGCGACGAAAAATTGTTTTAGTCGTTAAAAATAAATATTTGGCGACCAAAACTTTTGGTCGCCAAAGATAAAAACAAATTTTTTCTTTTTCATTCGGCGACTAAATAAGTTTGGTAGCCAAAACTAACTATACGGTGATGAAAAATTGTTTTAGTTGTTGAAAATAAACATTTGGCGACCAAAACTCTTTGGTCGTCACAGATAAAAACAATTTTTTTTCTTTTCATTCGGCGACTAAGGCCAAGTTTGGGGTATATAAAAAAAGCCAAAAAGCAAAAAAGTTACTCAAAAAGTGAAAAAGTTAACACTATTCACCAAAAGTCAACAATTACGGCTGCATAACTCTCAATCCTAATTTTCCTCTACAAACCAATTTTTACAATTTTTTATTACACATTTTTTCATAAAAAGTCAAAAAGTTAACCCAAGCATCCATATTTTTTTCATTAACTTTTTAGTCCAAAAAGACAAAAAGTATACTTATTTAGGACACCCCAAACAACCCCTAAGTAAGTTTGGTAGCCAAAACTAACTATACGACGACGAAAAATTGTTTTAGTTGCTGAAAATAAATATTTGGCAACCAAAACTTTTGGTCGCCAAAGATAAAAACAAATTTTTTCTTTTTCATTCGGCGACTAAATAAGTTTGGTAGCCAAAACTAACTATACGCCGACGAAAACTTGTTTTAGTCGCTGAAAATAAATATTTGGCGACCAAAAACACATCTAAAAACAATTTTTTTCTTTTCATTCGGTGACTAAATAAGTTTGGTAGCCAAAACTAGCTATACGGCGACGAAAAATTGTTTTAGTCGCTGAAAATAAATATTTGGCGACCAAAACTTTTGGTCGCCAAAGATAAAAACAATTTTTTTTCTTTTTCATTCAGCGACTAAATAAGTTTGGTACCCAAAACTAACTATATGGTGACTAAAATATTTGTTTAGTCACCAACTGTGGCAACTTTAGCGACTAAATTTTTTTAGTCGCCAATTGTGGCATTTTTAGCGACTAATTTTTTAGTCGCCAATAATCAATATAGCCCGACTAAAAAAATTAGTAGCTAAATATTGAACTTTTGCCGACTAACATAATTTTGGTCGCCAATTCGACAACTTTTGGCGACCAAAATTTTTTTAGTCAGCAAAAGTTGTCGCCAATAGTGTGTTTTCTTGTAGTGATAGTTTGTAACCAATAACAATTTATATCATAACACGAAAATATATATATATATATATATATATATAAAGGGTAAATTACAAATACACCCTCTGAGGTTTGTTTAAAATACGAGTTGCCCTCTGTGATTTGGAAAATTACAAATACCTCATTGCCAGAATTTTTTATTTAATAGAATTAATTAAAAAAGTAAAATTTCTAACTGTTCACCTATATAATAATAAAATTATCTGAATTATTAATTAAAATAAAACTTTAGCATCATTAAAAACTGTTAATTAACTTGATAATTTATTAATAAAATGACCTATTTGTTATGAAATTATAAATTTTAAGGGGTATAATGTAATTTCTAAAACCATGGAGAATAATTTGTAATTTAAATAAATCTCAAAGGGTGTGCTTGTAATTTATCCTAAAAAAATCAGTGTATTTGTATTATGACCATCCTAAATCGTGGAGGCTTATAATTTTCTTACAAATTCATCCTCGGTACTTTTGTCAACCTCATAATTTCTCTAATGACATCGCCCAGTTAAGAGTCGTGGCCATAAATCTACTTTTCCGGCGCACTTAATTTAAGGAAAATGGATTTGAATTTGTAAAATTATTTATATATTTTGGAACTTAGTATCTATGCTATTATATAAAATAAAGACTATATTTGATGCCCTAAAATCTTTAATTTTAATTTTTTTTTTTAAAAAAAAATTACACTTTGAATAGTACAGCACACATATTGTGATAGTAATTTTTTTAATTATTTATTTTTATATTTTTATTTAAATTATATACTCATTATATGTGTCACCCAATAATATATAGATTGGGGGTGGGGGATATTCATTCATCATTTTTGGTCCCATTTTGTCTTCAATTATGTCTCTCATTGTCCTTTCAATGCCCTCCATTTTGGTCATTTTTTTAACAACCAACTATTTAAAACTTGTCTTTTTTTAGAATGAAAATTGCTATGAAGAATTATTAAAGTTTTCTTGGACAGGATGTTGTGGTGTTGTTAATTTGATTTTTATTGATAAAATAGTTAATTATTTTTACAAAATTACTATAAATTATAGAATTTCTTTTAATCAATGAAATTCTACTCTTAAATAAATAACTCGACAACAAAATCTTAAAACCTAGCTGTAAAAGATTTATTTGCTGCGGATTATTGCCCATTACCCATTATGAGATTTCTCTTATTAGTTCAAAAAAAAAAAAAATGAAAAGAAAGATAGAGGGCATGTGACCACTTCTTAGTAAAACGAAAATTGTATTTTAGAAAAATAAAGATTAAGGTTATGCTTGTTTAGGGATTGAGGAGTTTGTTGGATTGTTAATCTGTGAGATAACTCGATCTTAGGTTAGGAAAATTACAGTTACTCTATTGGCTCAAATTTTAAACCTCTGAATTTCTTGTAATCTCAAAAGGTAGTCACATGAATCACTGATCAACTATCTTATACAGATAATAAATTAATTTAGACAACAACATAACACCGTACTTGATTTTAGCGACATATTACGAAAAAGGTCAATAAATGTCACTTTTTTTTTACGATTTTTTTATCTATACAAACACTTGTGAGATTTAATGGTATACATGTTAATAATTAACCCATCGATTGATTTGATTTTGCAAGGGGTTGTTTGGAGTAAACTAAATAAGTCAATTTTATTTTTTTGATTTTTTTTTTCTATATTGATTTTTTTTTCAAAATTAAGTCAATTTTTTTTTCCTGATCTGTCTTTTGTAGATGAATTTATAAAGTCAAAAAATTAGTTTACTATTTTTTATTTATCTTTTCCATTTTTAGATTTTTTATAATTTTTTTTCATTTTCGATTCGTTTTGTCAAGCTAAATCTAGAACTTTAAAAATTTTTGAATTTAAAAAAAAAATCAATAAAGACGAAAAAAAAATTCACCAAATAAGCAAACTCCAAACACCCACAAATTTTTTAATCCATTATCTATAAGGAAAATGTAATTGTTTTATTTTTGTATATTTTATTTGGGACAATAACAAAAAAAAATAAAAAATCCAGAATGTAAGTCTTGCAAGAAAATAAATTTTGATTTTTTAATTTTGTCAATTTAAATTCTAATCTTTTGATTTGTTTTCAATTTAAACCATTAAACTATTTCCATTATGTAAAATTGAAGAAAAAAAAAATTTAGTCATTAAACTCAATGTAAAAATATATAAAATGTCTAAAACACATTTTTTTCATAAGTTTAACTATTAAAATATTTGTTTTTTCATTAATTTTACTTAATAAAAATAGATAAATGATTTAAATTGAAAACAAATTCAAATATAAAGTTTAAACGGATCGATCGTAAGTAGGTTCACACTCGGGTCGGGTCGAATGGTCCAAATAGGATATAATCCAGAGGGATAAACCAACAAGTTTCGGCCTCCAATAATCTCTAGTACTATCCTGTGATCGCAAGTTTTTCTTTCATTCCTTTTATTTTCTCAGCAACCAAACACTTCAAATGGTAAAATCAACCTTCATTCAGGACTTTCAAGATATGTTTGCTTTTATTTTCTCTTTGTTTTTGGAAATGAGCCGAGTGCTGTTTTGTTGTTGAGAAAATGTAGAAAAAAGGTATAAGTCTTGGTTTTTATGTCAGCAAATCTTAATTTTGCTTGTTTCCCAATTCAACCTTTAATTATTGCGGCTCACATTGATGTTCAAAGTAAATTACTAATTATTGTGTGGAATAAAGTTTGTGTGTGTGGTTATGATGATGGTGTGTTTAGATGTTTTCAATTTATGCTTGAATTTTCCTTTATTGTTAAAGTATATATTCTTCGGTTGTTCTAGCTTCCACCACTGTAAAGAGAAATTGCTTATCAGCTTTATGTTCCATGACATTTAGCATCACAATCACATAGCTATGGGAGATTTGGAATATAACCCAACAAAGTCCGGATTTTTATACCATTTTTAGTGTAGAATGTTACATAATGTGGGTTTTAAACTATGATCTTAAAAGCATTACCTAGAACGATCCCATTACATTGGGGTGTGCTAGGATGGGGGTAGACTAGGTTTAGCTCTTACCTTTATATGATTTGCAAAGAGTGGCTTCCTTTGGAATTAGACTTGCAATCTCATATGCTTGGTAAATTGACATGTTCTTTTCAATTTTATTATTTAATTTTGACCATCTACTGGTTA